AGTACAAGCATCAAGTGGATAGTGAGAGGGTGAGGGATAAATTATTTCAAGCTTAGCATTTACCAAAGACGGAGTCTCTTCTGTGACGTCGAAGAAATAATGAAAGGGTGGGAGCTATGACTTTTTTTCATCTGCTTTTGCCTAACACCAAGTTCGGATAGAGATGCGTCATGACTGCACAACTATTGTTTCTTGGTTTTCTCTATATGGAAAATATTCATATGCAGGCGGAACTGGCTCAAGAGCTTGCCAACATCCAAGCACAGAAAGCTGAAGCCGATAAGCGCCGCAAACAACAGGAAGTACAATATTTGGACATGCAATCTCAGTTAGCCGAATGTGATGAGCATCGTCTTCAAGTCATAGAGCAGCTCGAAAAGGTTGGGTTTGATTTCCCTTCTGTGCTTCATATTGAGATATTTCGTTCTTCTAGGCCCGCGAAGAGCTTGAGCACATTAGCCGTGCCCGTGAAGATGAGGAACAGAATGTCTCTAGTCTGACTAGAAAGATAGCGACGCTTGAACAGCAGCTCCATGAGCTTGCTGATCAAGTTCAGGTGAGACTAGATTTGCTTTGAATTTTGTCGGAGTCTCGTCATCTTACTTTAGGAAGAAACCCGTGCCAAACTTGCTCAAATCAACCGAGTACGTCAACTCGAGGAAGAGAAGGCGACTGTTGCTGAAGAACGAGATGAAATTGATGCTGCACGTCAACATCTTGAACGAGTAAGCACTGTGAAAACGTCGGATTACTTTGAATCAACCCAAATTTACAGGACATCGGCGTTCTTCGCTTGCAACTGGCTGAAGCACGCAAGAAGGCCGACGAAGGTGTCATCCAGCAAATGGAGGAGCTAAGAAAGAAGGCAAGTATAACCCAGTGCGAAATTGTTTTCCCAAATTCCTTTTTTATTTCGCGTTTTCTTGCTCATCTCGTTGTTCTCCACTGCTGCTAAACGAAGCTGATTGACTTGCGTCTTTGAAAAGTGAAAATTCATGGAAAATTTGATCATATTGAACTTACTACTGTCTGAGTTATCCGATGTGTGCAAATG